ACTCTATGTGGCTTCAGAACAATAGGTGGCAACTGGTTATTGGGTATGTTTGAGGGAGGAAACAGCAATTCTATTTCCAGCTCTGGACATGCTGCCCTTTCCTTTAAGCCACAGCTGCTGACTTGCAAGGAAGAATGATGCTCCAGAAGTGTGTGCCATTCTTCTGAGCTGGATATAATTAATATCCATGGCAGCCAATATATCCATGTTTACTTTAGTAAAAGCCTTACTCAGAGTCCCAGAGTAGCTCTTTAATACATAATTTTTAGTGAATTAACTGAAGAAATGTCCTTCTCCAGAGAGAAAGAATGTCCACAAAATGGGTAATTAAGGATCTTAGTTATATTTTTGTTATACTAGAGAAACACTCACTCAACTATAACATTGATAAACTTACTAGTGCTGTGGAATAATCCTCTTGTACACTGTAAAGATTTGTCAATTGGATTGGTTTAATAAAACACTGATTGGCCAGTATCCAGGCAGGAAGTATAGGTGGTGTGACCAAACTAAGGATGATGGGAAGGAGAAGGGCAGAGTCAGGAGGTGCCAGCCAGATGCAGAGGGAGCAGGAACTGAATGTGCCATGCTAATAAACGTACCACCACATAGCAGAGTGTAAATAAGGAATATGGGTTAACTTAAAATGTAAGAGCTAGTTAGTAATAAGCCTGAGCTATTGGCCTAGCATTTAAAATTCATATAAGCTTCTGTGTGTTTATTTGGGACTGGGCAGTCAGGACAGGAAACATCCATTTACATATGGCATCCAACATGGAGTGCCAGATGAAACATAAATCTAATTAATCTTATCAATAAAAACCAGGAGTCAGATATCAGGGTTAAAACCCCCCAAAAATTAGAAAAACAGCAGAGCAGCCACAGTCTCTTCCTACCTTTCCATTCCAATCAAAAGGGCCAAGATCCTGTCTCGGCCACACTTTACCACTTCCTGTTCCTTTCTCTAGAGTCCCCCAAACCTCTATGGTTAACTAGCGGCTAGCTCTGCCCTCTGACTCCAAGCAAGCTTTATTTGTCAGAATACAAACAAAATATCACAACAACATGCTAGCCTTGCTTGTAGGAGAATGGGGTAAAAGGTGGGTCCCAGTCAGAAAACCCCAGACGTGAAACCAGTCATGCTTGCGAGATTGCCGATTATGTCATAGACTGCCGTCTTAGGAGAGAAGCTCAGGCTTACATGAGTGAAGAGGCAGTTTAATCACTCAATACAAGGATGTACATGCCTCTAGTTAATGAGCTGGTCAGTTGTCACACCTCACTGACAGTGATCAGTAGGAGACACACTATGAAAGTATACACAGAGATGGGTACACTGAGCCAGTTCAGGCGGGTTAGACAGAGGCAACAATAACCCACAGGTAGGTACCTCTAGGAACAACCACACTACTCTGCATGGTGTGCATGGCAGTTTTGCTTTTCTGGACCTTGGTTTCTTCATCATGGCAGGGTGACATTTGGGACTATTTTGGACTGGGTTTCTAGAAGAACAAAATGGAAAGTGTGTGTGTGTGTGTGTGTGTGTGTGTGTGTGTGTGTGTGTGTGTGTGTATGAAGGGATTCCATTGAATGATTTACAACTGAGAGGGCCTGATAGGCCAATGGTCTGTGCAATGGAGAGCCTGAGATACTCATCCAGCTGCTCAGGGGACAAAGCTGGCTTCCTTAGCAGTTCCAATCTGGCGCTCAATGCCCGGAAGATTCTTGGAGAGTCTCAGGTCTTCAGTCTCTATTACATTGAAATGCCAAGAGGCTGGATACTGATGTCACTGACAGATTGCATCATCATCATCGTCATCAGCATCAGCAGCAGTAGCATCATCATCATCATCATCATCAGCAGCAGCAGCAACAGCAGCAGGAGGGAGAGACATACTCAACAGCACGGGCCAAGGTAGAAAGGCGATGAGTACGCCATTTTTCCTAGAAATGCCTTCCTAGACCCACCTAGAGGTATGTCTGAGTGAACCACAGATCTTGCCGAGTTGATGGTCAAGAATCAAGATCGGCCTCCACAAAGACTTAGCTCCCTGCAAACTCATGCTCCTTCTTGTTGCCCTGTGGACCACATTTATGGACTCATTGTAGCCAGCTCTGCTTCCTTAGCAGATAGAAGGAGCTCTGAGTCTGACAAAGTAGAGTGAGAACTCTTCCTCTTCATGAATCTTCAGTATTGTAAATTTACTGTGACCTATTTACTTTATCCTAACCCTAAGGTCTAATTACAGCTACAAAGGGGACTGAGGGGAGTTAAGGAAAAATAACAACACAAATTATAACATCAGAAAAGACAAGGAAAGGAGGTCATTGCTGTCACCAGGAGCAGTTGGGAGACTGGGACCACTTGATGGAAGGGTAGTCATTCAAGATCAGCTGATTGGCTGTATTAAGACACTATCTGTAGAAATTTCAGTTTGTTTCAATACTCATTATTTTTATTTATGTGTATTTGTGTGTGTTTGTATGTGTTTATGTACACCAAGTGTGTGCAGGAGCCTGCAGAGGCCAGAAGAGGGCATCAGATCTCCCGGAAGTGGAATTACAGGTGGGTTGTGAGGTGCCTGATGTGGATGCTGGAAACCAAGCTTGGGTCCTTGGCAAGAGTGTTAAATGCTCTTAACTACTGTGCCATTTCTCCAGCCCTGAGACTTCAGTTCTAAAATAACTCACTATAGTCTCTATTTATAAAGTGAGTATATTTCCAGAAAGTTTTGAGCTCTTCCACAGAACTGAGAAGGATGTGGGGAGATCCAGGAGCTAGACTTCTACCCACCACCCAAAGGTAGGCTACCTCATCACTGTCTCCCTCATGAGCATTTACTCTTTAGTTTGCAAGAGGAGTATCTTTGATTTTTTTTCTTGTGCCATTTAGAAGGCAGAGTCATTTTATTAATGACAAAATGTGGTCTGGATCATTTTTCTTCCTAATTACTTTGTTTTATTCTGTTCAATATTCCCTTTTAAATTAATTAATAGATCTTATTTTTGTAGAACCACTTTAGTTTGTAGACAAACTGGGCAGGTGTCACAGACTCACATGGTCTCCCCCATCCCTCCCTCCAAGTTACTACTAATTATTAGCATTGTCACTAACCTTACATTAGTATGATGCATTTGCCTAAATTAATTAACTGATATTGAAGGATTTTTGTGCAAATCCATTATTTATTCATAGCTTTTGCAGTTCCTCTGTGTTCTGTAATCCTATCCAGCTACCAAAGTACGTTAGGCCATCGTGTCTCCTCAAATTCTTTTTGGAGGTGATATTTTCTCATCCCCCCCATCCCATTTCTGATCACCTTTGAGAGCATTGGGCAGCATCATTGAGGCATAGCAGTTCTCCCCACTGGGATTTTCTTAGTATTTCCTCATGCTGTTTCCCCTTACTTGGGGAGGGAGATGATGGAGGTGGAAAACTATTTTCATGATTTGTGACGACTATAATGGACTGGACTACCCAGTGGAGACAGTATTGATTAGGGATGTCCACTGTGAGGGTCTGATTCCTACCTCTTCCTTTCCCGCATCTTATTCTCTGGAAGCAAGTCGCTCTGTTCTTCCTCACACAGGTGGGACTAATATGGCTCCATCTTTAGAGTAGCATGTCTACATAATTTATGTGTAATTCTTCTACATGGGAAATTTCCTCAAAGATTTTATAAGCAGAGGGGCTGATTTCACTTCCTGGGTCATAAAATTTGTGGCTACACATTTGGATTTTTTTTTTTTTTTTAAGTAGGGTCACCATGCAGACTAGATGTACTAGAAAGAGCACTGAATTAAGAGGGGTAAGGTTTGAGATTGAAAACCATCACAGTTATTTTCTCAGGGACATGACCCTGTAAATACCCCTTTCCCTCAGAGCTTCATTGTTGTAGAATAGTATTTTAAGGTGTGTTACCTTTGTTTATGCTCTGGAACATTTGTTTAATGATGCAAAGATGTGTTGCATTCTTTTATGCTGCATTTGTTTAACTCTGTGAAGCTGTGTTATTTTGCCTGTCTAAAACACCTGATGGTCTAATAAATAGCAGGAGAAAGGACAGGTGGGGCTGTCAAGCAGAGTGAATAAATAGAAGGAAGAATATGGGAGAAAAAGAAGAAAGAGAAAGAAAACAAGGAGAGGAGGATGCTAGGGGCCAGTCACCCAACCAGTGATGGAGTAAGAGTAAGATTTACAGAAGTAAGAAAAGGAAAAATTCCAGAGGCAAAAGATAGATGGGGATAATTTAAGTTAAGAAAAGCTGGCAAGAAATAAGCCAAGCTAAGGCCGGGCATTTATAATTAAGAATAAGCCTCCTTGTAATTTATTTGGAAGCTGGGTGGCAAGCCCCCCCCCAAAAAAAAAGCAAAACCAACCAACAACACTATATGGAATGACCAGAGTTTCTACTTGGCAATGCAAGAGAAAGGTCACTTCACTTGCATCCTTGATGCCTGGAACAAGTATTCCTAAGCATGGATTTTGTTTGACTTCTCTTTCTTTTCTTCCTCCTCTTAGCTCAGCTCTAAGATCACCTCTTCCAAACCATCCTCAGAGCATCCTAGGCTGAGCAGACTCAAATTTCTCTCCCCTTTCCCCGCACCTGGAGTGCATCTTCCTGTACCTTCCATCGAGTGACCCCTCATTCTCCCAGGTGCACTGCAAGTGCCTGTATGGTACTCTTGCATGGATAACCCCTCCCTGACCTCTCAGGCTACACCAGGATGCTTTGCTAAGTTTGCCCCTAACTCCTTGAAACTTATTTTTGCCATAGTGTCCACTGTGACAGATAGTTAAGATAGAGGCAAATTTTGTCTTTGGATAACCAGCCAATGTCCAGTCACATAGGCCATGCTCAGCTGAATATACCACTGAGGACTGGGTAGATGGATCTGAGTTAGACATCTGGTCCTATGATCCTCTTTTGAATTTCCTAAATGCTGGATGTGCTGGTCATGTAAGTAGGTATTCCATGATCACACACAGACAAAAAACATCAGTTTTTACTTTAGTTCATCTTCACTATGAGATGGATGAAGACAAAGATTGAGTATATCAGCTTTGATTATTTGACTCCAGGTTCAAAACCCAATTCTACCAATTACCAGATGTGCAATGATGGGAAAATTACTGTAAAATTTCTCTACATTCCACCTTTATCCTCTACAAATTATGTACAACTGGATTTAAAGCTGTGGTCCACTAATCCTTTTTTAAATATTTGTTTGATTTTTATTTTTGTCTGTGAGTGTTTTGCCTGCATCTATGTATTTGAACTGCCTGCCTGACTAGTGCCTATAGAGACCAGGAGAGTGTGCTGGGTCCCCTGGAAATGGAATTATGGGAAGTTATGAGCCATCATATGGGTGCTGAGAACCAAATCTGGGTCTCCTCCAGGAGCAGCATGTTCTCTTAACTTCTGAGCCAACTCTCTAGTCCCTGATCCATTAATTCTGAATTGTAATTTGCTTTAAATTATCTTCATGAATTAGGCTCCATCCAACACTATTAAATAAGGCTCATAGTACCTACCAGTTTCTCATGGTTACAAAGAAGATTACATGATGTGTCTATCGTCCATCTATCTGTCCTTCCGTCCATCCATCCATCCATCTATCCATCCATCCATCTTTCTATCTATCTATTATCTATCTATCTATCTATTATCTATCTATCTATCTATCTATCTATCTATCTATCTATCTATCTATCTATCTATCTATCTAACCATCTATCTTTCTATTATCTCCCTCAAGGACACTTTTTTTTAGGTCCACTATATGTCATTGATGGGTCATTCGGACTAAACTTTGCTTGATCATTTCTAGAAGCTTCTTTATTACCTGTCCTTGGTTTCTTCAGAGCCACTGCTGTCTCCCAAAAGACAGCTAAGGAAATGCAGACCAAGAGCCTTCCTGGTGGTCTCCTACAGCCTTTCACACTTCCTGCAGGAAGAGGATCTGGGGAAGGGGAGGCAGCCCCATATCTCTTGCATGAGAAGCAAGCATGCCTTAATCTTAAGAATTCCTCTGGAGTTGGGAGATGTAGCCATGCTTCACCTCTGTCCCAGAAGAACACATTCTGGATGGTTCCTTGGATCCTGACTGAAAGAGTAAGGCCATCACCCATATCCAACCAAGTGCCACCCAGAATCAAAAGTTCATGAGAGATTCCTCTCCCTTCAGCAATGTTATGTCCACATTCTAGAATATTCCTAAGTCAAGGAACATAGGAAAGGGCCTAGGTGCCCATTAATTAATCTTTCTAACTAGGGACAAACCGTTGTCACGTACCTATTTTCATCTTCAAATTGTATTTTCATGAGGGTATTTAAAGGCTTGAGGGTTTTTTTTTCCCCGTGAGTCTCTCCACACACCTTCCCCCCCCCCCATCATTCCTATGCAGTATAATGGTTAATTTTAGGAACTCTGAGTTTGATTTGTATTTAAGATTTTTACAATCTATATATAGGTTGGCCTTTAATAATCATTTATACATTGCTTCTTTTTATATAGGTCATGAGTTCTCCTGGGAGGGTAACAAGATTAGAAACAGCAAATACAGTGCAGAATAAATTAAAATGCTTCAGACTGCATTATATAATTTCAGAAAATTGGTTTCACATGGAAAGGTTTAAATAAGAAAACCAAAATGAGTTAAATAAGGAAACAACAACAACAACAACAAACAACACAAAAACAACAACCCTGTCGTTCATGCCAGGGTGGCTGTTGGGTTGGCAAGTTTGCCCTTGTAGTAAGGTATGGCGTCTCCTCACAGTGCTACGCCAGTGTGACAGCCCATCCAGCTCCCAGGGATAAAACTTAACTATTTTTCTACAATTTTTTTTGTTGATTATTTCAAAAGGCTGGTTTCATTCCCGACGACGAGGAGTAGTATTTATTAGTCAAAATGACATGGAGCCATCCTAACGGTCCTTGTATTTTCATACGGAACGCTCCAAACTCTTGCACACAAGTGCTGTTGTTGCCCTTGGCACGGCGAACTCAGAGGTGGGTGTGGGACAGGGGAGGCAGGACAAGGCGTGGCTCATCGGTCAGGATAAAGGAAAGAGGGCTTTCCTTTCACAGATGCATGGAGGCACCACAACACTCCAGAGAGTCTTATTATTCCGGCCGGGTTTGTCTGTTTCTCTGAAGTTCGGCATCCCTTCACTCGTACGGAGGAGTCCTCAGGCCTTTTTCAATTTCTCTATTCGTGCACTGAAGGCCTCTTCCTGTACTTGCAGTTTTTCGTTTATCTCCTTCTGTGGAGACAATCATAAAAAAAAAAAAAGTGGTTATGATGGAGCTATCTTTGACTGCACGTTGTCTTTGTGGTTTTAACATACTATAGTGCCGAAAGACAGACATTATCCTTCACACACCTTCCTGTTTTGCAGACAGAGCTGTGTTCCAGCCTGTGGTGATGCGATAACACTTTATCGTATTTCTCTGCACATTCCCAATGTATAGCATGCCTACCACGGACAGGAAGTGGTGTTTGGACAGCCATTTTTCACACAGCCTCGTGTTGGAACATAGGATAACTGACCTGCGTCTCCAGACAGATTTGCCAATAAGGGCTGAATCGGAATGACTACTTCGGGCTCTGTTGGTGCAGTTCCGTGGGCCCCTCCACCCTTCCTTTTGGGCTTTCCTCTAATGCATTCTAAATGGGATTCCTGGAAGCTTCCGTGTGTGAAATAATAACACAAATAATCTCATAATTAGGACAGCTCTCATAATTAAGAATATTCATCATACATTACAATTCTTGCTCGCATGCCACTTTGTAATATATTTTTGGTACACACAGAAGAAAGAGAGGGAACTCATAAGCAATTGGTGACAGGCTTTAGCGAGCATGGCAGCTGTGATGGCATTAAGCCTCTGATACTGACAGTCTGAACACTAACATTGCTACCTGTGCCATTCCAGAAATGCACCTCATTGTGTGTGCAAATCTCAACACTGTGGGAACGTAGGAAATGCCTTTCTTCCACCAGGATAGATAACACAGTTGCATACAGAGACAAGGGCAGTTGGGATGCTTGTTGTTTTTGTTTGTGTGGCCGGAGGACATCTACACATGTATAGAGAGTACCTTTTACTCCTGTGTGTTCATGAGTCAAAGTGTAGAGTATTTAATAGTTAACATAATTTGAAATCTTCGTGGTAACTGTATTTCTGAGGAACTTTTATTATTTCATTTAAATAGAAAAAAAATAAAAACCATCACTGTTTTGTGACCAGATATGATTAAAAATATTTTTATGTATTTATGTAATTTTTTAAGAAGGTAAATATAATGGGTGATTTTGAAATGTTTCCCCTTTTCCTCTGATTACCATTTTAATGAGATTTGGTTTTTACCATCATAGAAAGAGTTGATATTTCTGACAGGTCACATTGGCGTCAACAATTCTAGATTCACGATTTGTATGAGTAAGAAATGGTGCAGGGCTTTTAAGTTTTGTTTTTGTTTTTTTTTTCCCCTGAGATCAACTTTTGACTTCTGGTGTCTTCATTTTTTTCTCTTTGTTATTGGTGAGTGGATGAGGCAAGCGAAGGGATGAAATGGTCCTCTGGTTACCCTTTTCACTGATACCCCCATGCAGTACTTTTTAGCAGAACTAGAAGGAACATGGTTTATGTACTACCAACTAATCTATGGTCTAGTTAGGCTAGGCCACTTTAGACAAGTCACTTAATCACTTTGCCTAGTCTTTATCTGGAAAATGAAGTAGGGAATAGGGGTTAGTTAACATGGCACTTCAGCTTTGCATTCATAATCCCAACTCCTGATTTCACAATATACTTTACTAATGGCATAGTTCACTAATATATTATCATGAAATATTAAAAACAAATTGTTACACCTTATGAGTTAACATCCATTTATGATAGATTGCACCAGCTAGGTGTTGAAATGGTCTGAGAACATCATTTTGACACAGGCTTGAGAGGACTTGCTCTAGGCAGACGCTGGGTTTCTCCATTCACCAATGCTCTTCTGTGTCCACCTGTCACCTCACGTTTTCCAGAAAAGAATGGCCGGACTGTGTCGTCTACCGTTTCCTCTCTGGAGCCTCACTAGGGTTTTCACAAGAATCTGGGGGTTCTCCTTGTGTCTCCCAGAGACAGACTTTACTACACTGCATGTGGGCTTTGGAGAGGAGGTTCATGAAAGTAGCAAGAGCACAGTCCTGACAGGAGAGGAAACTTCCTGACCACCGGACCTCGGTGATTGGCACGTTAGTTTAGGTACAACCAGCGGAGACTGAGCGAAAGGACCCTGTGTCTACTCACTGGACCTGCTGGTTTGCTGTCATCCTTGTTACACCTCAGAATGCTGCTGAGAAGACACATTACCTTCAGCTTGGGCTGGGTCTGATTCTTATCTCTTTTAGGAACTATTCTAAAGTCCCTGCACTGTGTTCAGTAGCTGTCACCAACTGCTACCTCGGATGACTTTTCTAACCCGGACAATTCGAAGTTGACCTGAGACATCGAAAATGGCAGGATGGCAAATTCTGTTCACTTTTTCTGACATTATTTTATTCCTTTGCTGTGTCAAGGCCAACAGCCAACAATTAACGCAAGAGTCCGGCATTATCATTCCAATTTCTCTAGAATATCATTCTTTAAATACATTAAAGTTTGTTCCTTTGGGTGTTATTTTTATTATGCAACTCACAGCAGAACTAACTTCATTCTGAATGTATCTTTAAAATGAAAATACCTAAACTATATTGGCTTAAAATGTTTGGTCTATTTCCTGTGATTTGAATTGACGTCTGAGGGCCAAGGTAACTTCATTCTTAATAAATCTCTCAACTACAAAGTGAATCATGGAAAAATAAGTAGATGGACATAAAATATTAAGGGTTTACACTCCATTTCAGGAGGTTCTGTATTAGAGAAGTTGATATTGGCTTGGAATTACAATAGAGAAAAAACTCCTAGACAATGTGCTGAAATATGAACTCTCTATTGACAGTTTTTTTTGTTTTGTTTTTTGTTTTTTGCTTTTTGCAAAAACTCCAGTGACAGTGCGACTTTTAAAAAGAGGAAAAACCAAACAAACTAAGGAGCACTCACAAACACTGACAGCAAAATGCGTTAAGTGCATACGGCAGGTACGGGTATCCAGTGTCAAGTGCACACGGTTTTGAAAAGGGGTGTGGCAGTTTTTAGAACTAGGATCGTTTAGAAGTGGAAAGTAACTTAGCCTGTCTGACACCAAGGGAAAAACTGAAGCAAGGCTCAGGGCAGTGGCCCAGCTTGGAATTTGTCCAAGAGGAAGGTAGACACCGGAAAGTAGGAAGCCACAGGTGTATGAACAGTCAAAGGAGCCTGGGCCTCTTGTTAGATGTGTGGCTTCCTTGGCTGGTGCTGGAGTTGCAAGTGGGACCAGGCTCACAGCCCCTGCTGAGCCTGCTGAGCCTGGGAACCGTAGACAAACAGTAATCTGTCTGGGTCCTGCTTGTCACCAGAAAAGCCCTCTTCACTTGCATGGAGGTTAGTAGGATTACAGAGAGAAAATACACAGGGTGGTTGGCTATCTTCAGACACTGCAGAAAGCTACATCATCTTGCCATTTCGTTGAAAAGTCAGCAGTAATTTTGCTCAAGCTGATTAGATCCATCCAGTACAGAGACAATTACAGTACCTACAAAGTCTAGGTATCTCCACTCTGGTCCATGTTCTCTCTGTGCATAATTGCACTTAGGTATACAAGCTACTGAACTTCCAGATGGCTTCATGTTAATGGGAAGACAACAAGCCCATATATCAACCCTATTCTTTCTGTCAAAGAAGAGAGGTGCCAATGTTGCAGACTCTGGTCCTCTAAAAGAAAATCATCAGTGAATAGTTAGAAACATGCAGTTCCCTTCATGGAACACGGCCTTGGTAAAGATGTTTTCAATTGTGGGTCCCGCGAACAATTCTCTTGCTTGGCTAGTAGTTCCTCGGCAATAATTTCAGAGCTGTGGGATTGCAAAGGAGCCCTGGGCAATGATTATACATAAACTATATTTAGAGGAAATGTTATCAAATCTAAAAAGGAGGTATGTTCTGAACTCAGCTTAATTCACTACACTCTGCCCTTCTACACAGTAACCAGTTATTACATTCACAGGGCTGTTAACAATAGTCCTTTGTGTAAAACGTGTTCTTCCACTATTTCTGGTAAACACTAAACACCCCTTATTAAGCTGGGGGACTTTGCCTGACTCTGTTGGCACCGGATCATTAAATGTTTGTGTAAATATTGCAATAACATTTGATGATTAAACGGGCAGCAAGGTATGCTTAGGACAACCTAAGTTTATACTCTTCCCAAATTAGTTATTAATACAGTGCGCTTTTTATACATGGTCCCAAGTTCAGATAACAACGAAAGCTTCCCCTTAGATGCGTAAGTGTTGTGGTGATTTATGGTCATTTCTCAAAACAACAGTGCGCTTTTTATACATGGTCCCAAGTTCAGATAACAACGAAAGCTTCCCCTTAGATGCGTAAGTGTTGTGGTGATTTATGGTCATTTCTCAAAACATGCAATTCACTTTATGTAAGCATTTGGCTTAGAAAATCATGTGGATTCCTCTAAGTCTTTACGTGGAGGTAGTAGTAGTTGTTTCTTGGACAGAATGGGGAAGAAGTAGTAAACACAAGTAACCCTTTGAGACATGACGGGCAGCTGCCCAGAGGTGGTGCCTGCTACCCACTCTTTGGGCACTGTTGGTGCAAATGGCGTAGCAATTAGTGATTTGTGAAGATGAGGAAGTGCTTGAGAAGAATTTCATGCCTGAAACTGGGTGAGGTGACTTAGCTAAACATGATGGTCAATCGGCAGCGATCGGCAGCGATCGGCAGTGTTCGGTCTTCAGAAGCCTGTGTCATTTACTCTTGCATAAGGCCTGTTTACAGTGTAATGTGGCTCAAAGTCTTCCCCATGCTGCTTTTCTGGGGTTTCAGTGTTGAAAGATTTTGCAAGCTGATAACACACAGCACACGAGGCGCTGCTGGCAAATCTGGTTTGTGATCTTACTGAATTCAGAAGACTCAGCTGAGGATTATGTAGCCTTGTAAGATAAAGTGTGCAAACCGTAAACCTTGCTCTTGCTTGGCCAGAGCAGACAGTGTTTACAGATGTCGAGGCTGGCGCTGGCTAATGCACCAAGCATAAAGGGGAGTTCGTTGCCTGCGCTCAGTACCTGAATGTTCAACAAAACCTCATCCGTCACACGAGCCAATGTTGATTTTACGTCATCAATGGTGAAGCCAACTAAAGGATCCACCTCTGCCATTTCGGTCTCTGGCTGGGGCTCCTGAGGGCTCTGCTCATGATCCGGCACCTAAGACATGGGAAATAAACACATGTAGATATTGAAAGAAAACAACATTCAAGTGAGCACTGGAGTGCTCAGCGATTTCTAGGCAACCTCACACTTCTGCTCTGTATGGCCCTACCAGGAGCGGTGGTGAACTGGAAGGGGACTTGGATTTTATGTTACCACATATCTCGGGGATTACAAGAGACTTTGGGGACTGTGAAGGTAGAGCCTGGGTAGGACAGGGGATGGGGGAGAGGAGTTAAAAACTCCTGGCCACCATCAGCTGGCCTATGTGTGAATCAACTCTGAAGAGAATATTTTTACTGGCCAGGAAAAAAGTCAGCGGCAAAGACAATGGGAGAACGTGAGGTTCTTTCCACCTTGGGCCGGTGTAATGCTTAGCAGGGGGAGGAAAGGCAAACTCAAGCCTACCTTCTGTTCAGTCTCTGGTGTTGGCGATCGATCTATGAAGGCCGAATAGATGTCCAAAGAGATTCCTTCCTCCAGCGGGGCTGGGAAAGGGTAGTCTGCAGGCTTGACAGCTTCTATGGTTTGCTGGAAAAGAAGAGCTTTGGTTGAGTGGTACTGTCTCAGCCGGTTCCCTCACAGGACTGGGGCATTTCCACATCAGGTGTCTTCTTCAAGTACCATCTGCTTCAACTCTCTGATACCACTGCCCGCTTCGTTGCCCGGTGCTTTCCAAGTACCATCTCTCGCTCGTAGTTAACACTTTCATCTTACTGTTTCTGTACTCTGTGGTTGAAGGTTCATTCACTTGCATTGTTCCCTGCCCCATGCCCCATGCCCCTGTGTATCAGCTTGTTGTAGGGAGAGAGCCAAGCTTCAGACCCCTGGTGCATCTGTCTTCTCCATTTCTGGCAGAGGGTACGGTGCATTCTATACCCGATAACAGTCTGGTGCTGACTGACATGACTTAGCAGGATCCCAGGGTTCTTGTGGTGCAGTAGAGCAGCTATCAACAACCCAGTAGTGGGGTTGGTCTTGCCAAGGACCTGAGTTTAATCCCCAGGACCCACATTAAAAAAAAAAAAAGCCAAGCATGGCGGCATGCATTTGTAATCTCAGTGCTTCATAAGAGACGGGGGTGGGAGGTGGGGGTGGGTCCCTGAGGATCATTGGGAGGCTCCTTTGTCTCCCCCCTCCAAAAAAAAAAGTGGACAGTGCAACACGCAAAGGTGACCTGTGGCTTCCACATGCAGGTGGCTACACGTGTGTGTACACACACCACACACTCAGGCATACACACACACATACAAAGAACATGGCAGTGGAACACAATAGAATCTTTGAAGTATAATGTGTGTATAAAACCAGAGCAGTGTGAATCATCAGAGGGACTCACTGAAAACTCACAGCCGAGCAGGACTTCACTGTGAGCAGTCGACATGTCTTTGCCAAGAGGGTGTAAGTGCAGTGGAGGGAGACTGTCACCAATGACGGCAGCGAAGCACAAGGAGAGCCATGGGTGCCAATGTTGGCAGGGTCCATCCCGCCACCACCAGGTAGATTGAAAGAGGAGAAGAGAGCAAGCACTAACAGCATTAAACCTCTGAATCACTTAATTAGTTCCTCTTGTTCTAATTCCATGTTTAACAAGCAATGTTTTTGACTATAATTTAATTTCCCATCTCAGTTGATCTGTAAAGACATGCCTACTTGAGTGTTCTGGTTTTTATGTCTTTTACATACCCCACTATAAATCAATAACGTGTTCCAATTTACATAGTAAACTCTCATGGGCTTGTTAGCGGAGCTCTGAGATGAAGTCACTCACTGGTGTACTGACAGAGTTGGACCTGAGCATACAAATTGGAAGACAGAACTTTGGAAAAGCATACCCCACCCCTATTACCATCTTAGGATGCCTGTGGGGGAAAAAAAATCACGAAAGAATCATACAGTCATTTCTAAGTTCTCCGTGTTACATCCCATCTTTTATTTTATTTTGGTTTTGGTTTTTCCAAGACAGGGTTTCTCTGTGTAGTTTTGGTGCCTGTCCTGGATCTCGTTCTGTAGACCAGGTTGACCTTGAACTCACAGAGATCCGCCTGGCTCTGCCTCCTGAGTGCTGGGATTAAAGGCATGCGCCACCGCCGCCTGGCACATCCCATCCTTTAAATATTAATGGTTTTCATTTATAGGCTTTGGATAGTGCTGGAGGTAGATTTGTTCCCTGGTTTTACCAATGTGTATGCATTTGAGCTGAATTTATATTATTAATTTTTTTTGTTGTTGTTGACCATATAGGTAGTTGCTGTTTAGTTGTAGATATACGGTAGCAAGAATGTCTGGCAATGGAGTGGTGAAATGATTGGTCTGGGATCAAATAATTACGTAGTGACATCCATGGCATTAAAGCCTGGGGCAGTGAGGTCTTCACTTTTGCTATTTTCAGTAAACTGTAATATGTCATCAAGTGGCCATCCTGGGAAGTTATTGATATTGCTGAGCTTTGATTTTTATTCTGTTTGATGACATCATTCCTGCTGTTTATCTTGAGTAGATTCAGTGTTCATCAGAATATTGAGGAGACATCTTCCCGTCACATTCATAAGCTGTTGCCTTTTGGCGAGTGAGGGCAGAGAGAGTTATAAAGGAACCCCATCTTCTCGCGGTTATGTGCCACCCCACACCCACGCCGGGCTTACAAACTCCCATATTGCTCTTCATTTTCCCCGGGGCAAGAAAGGGGCTAACCAGGCCTCAGGGTCCTCCGAACCTTACAGGTTAAACGAAGAAGCTGCCCGTGGGAATCAGAGCCGTGGGGGAATGGGGCTGTTTGCGCGTAGGAAGTGTGTGTTTGGGAGCGACGGTGACGAGGGAGACTGTGAAGAGAAGAAAGAGTGCCAGCTGACTGGATTGGCTGCGGGCATCAAGCATGTGCTGAAGGGCGGGGGCTGGGGGACACACACACACTTTTCTTTTCAATCGGGTAGAATGTTGTGTCGTCCACTGTCACCCACACTGCTCTGGGCACACGGGCTGAGGCTCTCGGCCTGTTCATCTTCACGGCCTGACATTCTTTTCAGAGAGCCTCTCCACTTGGTGAAGCGGAGCCCACGATCGGATTGGCCCTCCGGTGCCCTAGTCCTCAGCAGATTCGACACTTAAATGCAAACCGATGTTCGTATTCAAGTCTTACGTTTTCTCCCCGCCCCATATACCTCTGGGGTCTGGATTGATTGACTGATTTCCTTTTAAAGGATATGTATGTATGTATGTATGTATGTATGTATGTATGTATGTATGTATGTATGTATTGGGGTGTCTGGGATGCCAGAAGAGTGCGTCAGATCCCCATAGAGCTGTAGTTACAGGGAATTTTGAGGTGCCTAACATGGGTGCTTGGAACTGAACTCAAGTCCTCTAGAGTCTTAACCACTTAGCCATCGGTCCCCTTCCCTCCCTTTTGTCTTCTTTTTTTTTTGCTTTCTTTTTCTCTCTGTATGTGTGTATGCATGTGAGAGTGTGTCTATGTGTATGAGTGTATGTATGTATGTATTCGTGCACATATGTGTCTCTGTAAATGTGTAACTGTATGTGTGTCTATGTGTATGTGTATACATGCACATGAGTGTATGTATGTGTGTACATATGTATGTATATCTGTGCATCTATGTGTATGTATATATGATGTGCATGTTTTTATGAATGTAGATGTGTATGTGAATGTATCTCGTATGTGTGTCTATGTATATGTATGTGAATGAATGTATTAATGTGCATGTATATGCACACGCATGCACACATGTGCCCTAACACACATGTGGAGACTTGGATCTCTCTGGCTCCCTACTTCCTTTCTTTGGTAGGCTGAAGTTTGCATTTCTTCCCAGAAGCTGAAATTATGGCTGACAGTTGAGGTTTTCTTTCTCTTGATTTTTTTTTTTTTTTGTAATGTGTGTAGTTCATATAACTATTAAATTGATTCAATTCATGCACAGGAGTGGGGGTGAGAGTTTCTTTTCTTTGCATGCTCTGCATACTGTTAATGAACCGAACCACAGCTGTTTCTGTCCTTCACGAAGAATTAAATTTAGCTGTGTTAGGCAGTAGACGAAGGTGCCGTTTTAAATACAGAGTTCGAAATAAACAAAAGGCTCCCAAGTAGCACAGTGAGTTCTCCTCCATGGAAAGTGATCGCCTTCCTTAAAAAACAAGTCCGAGGGAAATTAGAATCAATAATTGTGGTGAGCACGCGGAGCCAGCAAACACGCTTAAATGAAACCGTCTGATGCAATACTTTCTTTAAAAAATACAATTAGGCCTTTGTATTTTTTTTTTTAACAAAACCTCATGTTTTACAACATCACTGGCTCTGTAATAAAATCTATTTAAAACAGAGAGACATGGTCAGCTTTATTGAGTTAGATTTTCTGAGAGAACATTATAATTTCCTCAAGTCTACGAATAGTTGAAGCAAATTAAATAAAGCCAGTTTTATAACTATTTTTATACATTCCTGTAGGATGGCAATTGTCTCATATTTTTTTACCCCTCAAAAGTCTAATATGTTACCTTTTAAATCTGGAAAAATAAAAGCAGGAAAATGATAAAGAAGCATATTAAAAATATATATACAAATAACAAACAAAAAAACCCTAAACAACCTATTTGGTCTGAATTTAGTCACCCCCCGCCAGCAGAAGACTAGCACCCATGACATTCAGACCAAGAACCAAAGGGAAATGCTTGGAGTGACTTGCCTCAGGCCTAACGCTGAGCTTAAAAGGTGAGGTAGGGCTTTCTGATATATACACACATCCATTTGGCCAAATAACTGGTTTTGCCTGACTTTCAAATACCCCTAAGTATTACTTTGGATGTGCAGCAATCAGTGTGTTTCTCTTGCTGTTTCTGAATGCTTGCACACAAACGGATATAATAAAAACAGCCACGTTGCTGCTTCACATGAATGCCACTTATACTTTTTTTTTTTCTGATTATGAGCAGGCCATTGGATCCAAGGTGAGTACATTAAAAGCTCTAATAAAGAAGAGAAGAGAGTTCTAAACAGAATAATGGACTGTTAAGTGAACATGCAATAAATAACGTCCACAGATGTGGTCACTTGCAAATTAGTTTTGCATAACTTACTTTCTGCATTTCCCCCAGATGTTATCTGTTACATGGAAATTACCTGAAGCTGGCTACATTGTTCTTTGTGTGTGCATTGCAGTTGTGTTATTTAAGGTGGTTTGTAATCCATGCTTTACTTGACTTGTGCTACGGTATTTAAGGACTAGCAAACGACTGGCTTTTGGCATAACTTAATACTCATCAGTACAAAACTCCACCATCAAATACTATGTCTTTTTTTTTTTTTTTAATGTAAGCCCTTTACTTGCGAGCCAAATGAAATCACTAGAAATCTTTTGAAATGTGTGTTTCCAATATGAATTGGATATCTACCATGGGAATAAATGCTAGGAATTTTGACCTCTTCTGGAGGGTCAGTTTGGCTCTGAAAACATGCTTATAGGAAATCAGACTCCGTCTCCAGATCTTAGTGTGTCTGAGAAGTCATGTGAAGA